CTCCTCCTGCCTCACACAGCGGAAAACTGAGGCTTCGGCAGCTGAAGAACTTTGCTTCAGCTGAGGGAGGAAAGGCACCAGCCCCACCAACACCAAGTTTACCTCCCCCGAGCACCGTCTCCAGGCCGCAGAGCCTGCAGGCTGGTTGGGACAACAAACAAAACAGACGCGATGGGTCGGGCTGATGGCAAAAGTTCAGATGCCCCGTGCTGGGGCCCTAAAACCAATTAAAAAATAAATAAATAAACCTCCTGGGCAGCTGTCTGTGTGGAGCAGCTCTCCCCCTGCGATCTCGCTTAACCCCCCCATCACCGGCGGCCTGTTCTCCTGCCTCCACTCGCCCCCCTGGTCGCGAAGAAGCTCTTTCCGTTTCTGAAACGGGGGGGCCCCGGGGCCCCACAGAGGGCCTCAGCCGCTCCCAGGGCTTCTAAAGCACGGGGCTGCAACTCCGCCGATCTTCAGTGGCGGTGTTGAGGGCGCAAAAACCCCACCAATAAAACTGGATTAGTAGGTGGCGGCGGGCTTCGCCACCTCGGAAACAAGGCTACCAACCAGCCGGGAAAAAATCCCAGCGTCCCCAGTCCAGACGAAGGGAGCGCCCCCTCCAGGCTGGGCTGGGCGCCGTCGCCTTTCAAACCGTCTGTAAAACCGGCACGAGGAGAGACCGCAGAGGAAAACAGCCGTGAGCAGTCGGGGCGCGGCTTTTAACGGGTCTCGCCGTCGCCCGTCTTTCGATCTTTCGATCCCCGATGGAATCCTCCAGGCGGGGGTTGGGATAGGAGGCATAGCCGCAAGGACGCCCCCAGAAGGCGGGGGTGTCGGCCTGAGCACGCACGCAGAGGGACGCCGGGGGGGACACACGGGCCCGAGGGTGAGGAACTGAGCCTCCCGTGTTAGGATGCGATGGACAAGTCCGGGTGTCGTCGCTGGCACCTGGGAACGGGGGTGGCTCAACGCTCACGCAGGGGAAGGGAGAGAGAGATAGCTCTTTAAAACACCCCTCCGCTGAGCAATACCACTTTAATACTCACAGATACTACAGTGTTCAAGGGAACGTTTCTGCAGGTTCTTCCTCCAATAACGCTGCCCTGAGCTAGGACTGTTGGCCCTTCATTTGCTCGTCTGTGGACGGCATTGTACTTTTTGGACACTCAATCTGTATAAACCTATGCACATTTTGCACATCTTCTATTGTTTTTACAGTGACTATGATCGTATTTTGCACACGCCTATGTATTTATTTATTTTGTATTACTGTACGGATTCAAATTTTTCGTCTATCCTGATGGTTTTTTTTTTGCTCGCCTCGGGCTGCTGTAACGCATCGGCTTCCCTTCGGGATCGATAAAGTCTTATCGATCCGCCTATATCCAGGGTGCCCCCTGGAACCCTGCAGCGTCAACCTCATCAATAATGGACAGCCACTTTCTGAAATGGGCGAGGAGCGGCGGGGGCAACTCTCAAAACCATTCCGATCCGGGACTGGCACGGCCCAGCCCGCTGAATTATTGAGCGCAACGCGCCTGCCTTAATGAAAGCAATCTGGGAGAAGGCCGTAAAACTGTCCCTTCCCATAATCTGGGAACGCCGGGAGGAATTCCGCAAGCACGGATAAAAAAAAACAAAACAACAAACAACCTGGGTTAGAGCTCGGCCGGCTGCTGGTGAAAGTGGGGGGCGCAGAACTGGTTACACCCCCACGAGCGGCAGGCGGACAGCCCACAGGGCCTCGCGTCTCGCTCCGCCCAGCCCGGATCACAGGAAGAGGTACATTTAAAAAAAAACAAAAAAAACAGCACCTTCCCAGCGTCTTCTGTCCAGCCAGGACGCACCCCACCCCCACCCCCTTGTACAAGAGATTTTTTTGTTACCGTTGACTCACTGTGAACTCTGTTTCGGCCCCAGCTGGGAAAATTCAAAGCCAGATGGCTCTCTCTCTGTGCCCCCTGTCCTGGAAACCGGCTGAGGGGGAAGACTACCAGCGTTAGTCACCAGCGCGAGGCGCACAGCGACCGGGCCACGGGCTTCCGAGCGCAGCGCGACTCTAACCCAGCGTCTCAGGGCCGTTTCGCGCCGGGACCTGGCTCGGCCGACGTGGCAGGGCGCAGACCGCAGGGGGTTCGCACCCGCGCGGGAGGGTCAGGAAGAGAAGGGGAAGGTCACGCAGCCCGGCTGGGCGCAGAAGCGCGTCTGCGTCGGCCTGGGGATCCGTTTTCACTTGTTTCGGGCCTCTGTGTGTGTGCGCGCGCGTGTGTGTGTGTGTGAGCGCCGCAAACTGGGAGCCCTGGCCGCAGCGAGACTCAGGGAGCAGAGCGGTTGCTTAGCAACCAGACAAACACAGCCACTGCCAAAGGGTGAGGCTCTCCAACATCTGCACGGGGGACGGGGGGGGGGAGATCGGGGAAGACGGCCCCGCAGACCAGCCCCCCTCCTCTCTCCCGAGCGCAGGCAGCGGGGACGTGCCTCGGGGACAGCCCTCTGTTCCACACCCAGACTCCTCTCCTGTCTGTGCAGCCCAGGACAGACTCACTCCCCCCTACTCCCCCAGTCCCCAACATAAGGAGGGCAGAACGGGTTTCTGGGCTGGAGAGGGGGTGGTGGGGGGGAGGATAAAGCCGTCTGCTCTTCCCCCTCTCCAAAAAACCAGGCCGCGCCGTCGCCGTCAACCAGGAATTGGTTTTGGAGCTTTGGAGAAGGGAGAGAATTCGGTTTCAGTTTCCTCCACTGTTTAGTAATCTAAACCAGACCCCTGTACGGGCTGGGGAGCCCTAGGGCCGCAGCTCCAGAGAAACCTCGTTGCAGAAAGACGGCAAGTGCGCTGACCACCTCCCCTCCTCCAGAGCCTCTGAGCTCATCGATGACTCCGTCCTCCCAGAGTTATTTCTGGGGCCTTCCTTCAGGCCTGAATCCCTCCCTGGCTCAGCCAGCCTTACGGAGCTCCAGCCCCCCAGGACGGCCCCCAGTGGCCCCCAAAACCCCACCCCCCCGGCTGCCCACCGTCCCGCCCGAGACCCTCCCCCGGATTTCACTCCGGAACCCGGGCCCGTTTGAGAATCCGTCCCTCACGCCAGCCCGCGGACCCGAGAGCTGACCCACAGCTGTCGGCAGAGCGGGATCAGTCCGGCCGGTGCCCCGTGACTCCGGGAAGAGGGAAGAGCCGCTCCACAGGTCTCCCGGAAATAAACAACCGTTCGAACTTCCTGCCGGGAACTGCTGACCTTCCTCAGAGGGACTGGAGCTCGGCCTCAGTTGGCGCCGTCCTCCCTCAGCTCACTGACTAGTGAAACAGGGTCTTGCGCTAATGCTAACCGAACTCTGATTTGGGGGGTTGAGTAAGAGTACTCTATACACAGCTGGGCGTATTACTGCTTTTGTTTGGATGTTAGTTGATTCCAGCGCCCGCCTGGCTGGGGTTTTTCTTTTTTTAATCCTGCTGTTAAAAACAGCTGCAGCCAAATTCCACACAGCTACAACGCTGGTCTGTCCAGCACAAAACTGTGATGCGCCCCACCCCATGACTCTCTCAGCAGCTCAGACCTGGTTGTCTTTATATAGCGCCTTTCACAACAAGGTTGCCCCAAGGCGCTTAACAGTGCAAG